CTACCAATGCCAGCTATACGATTCCGGTAGTAGCTCCGGGTGATGCCGCCAGCTATACCGTAGATGTTATCGGCAGCAGTCCATGTGGCCGCGTAACTTCTGCAGCCAGTGTACTGACGGTGAAGACATTACCACTTACGATTACTGCTGCTACAACCACCAGCTTCTGTATCGGAGGCAGCGTGGTGCTGAATGCACCGACTACACCGGCAACGCTTACCTATCAGTGGCAGAACGGTGGTGGCAATATTACCGGACAGACCAACAATTCTTATACAGCTACTACTTCAGGCAGCTATACCGCAGTGATTACCAATACAGCTAACGGATGTTCCAACAGCTCTAATATCATCGTGGTAAGTGCTACAGGTGCTCCACAGGCCATTGTTAGTCCTGCCGGTGCTGCATCCTTCTGCCAGGGTACCAGCGTAAAACTGAGCGGTAATAATACAGCCGGTCTTACTTACGAATGGTTCCGGAATGGTGGCACAACAGCTGTTGGCCTTGATTCTACCCTGATTGTTACAGCGCCTGGTAGCTATACCCTGAAAGTATCTATCGGCGCAGGTTGCTCTACAATATCAACAGCAACCGTTGTTACTGAGACACCATTACCAGTGATCACAACCACTCCTGTCGGTCCGAATACGATCTGCCAGGGAGATACCTTGTCACTGCTGGCCAACTTCACAGGTGCAACCCTGGTATGGAAGTTGAATGGCAGTCCTGTGGTACCTGCCGCCACCGGTGCTACTTATAAAGCAACCGCAGCAGGTTCTTATACAGTAACCGCTACCAGCACAAGTACCGGTTGTGTGAATACATCTGCAGCAGTTGCAGTAAGTGTAAACGCACTGCCAACCGTGAGCATCGTTTCTGTAAATGCAGCCACCTTCTGTGAGGGCGGTTCTGATACCCTGAGAGCAAATCCGGCAACAGGCCTTACTTATGTATGGAACAGGAACGCCAGCCCGGTAACGCCTTCTGCAACGGGTGTTACTTATGTAGCTACACAAACAGGCAGCTATACGGTAACAGCAACCAGCACAACTACCGGTTGCTCCAGGACATCTGCAATACAAACCGTTACGGCTAACCCACGTCCGAGTGTGGTGATCACGCCATCATTGCCATTGGCAATGTGTACTGGTCAGACCAATAACCTTTGTATTCCAACAACAGCAGGAACCACTTATCAGTGGAAAAATGGCACGGCCAATATCACCGGTGCAACAGCAGCCTGTTATGCAGCTACTGCAGCAGGTACTTACTCAGTAACGGCAATTACAACGGCTACCGGCTGTACCGCTACTTCTTCTGCGGCCACCATTTCTGTGAATCCAACGCCAACGGCAACCATTACCAATACAGGTACTGCTATTGCATGTGCGGGTGATACCGTATGTCTGAATGCAAATACAGATCCGGGTCTTACTTACCAATGGAGAGTGAATAGCGGTAATATTCCAGGTGCAACCAATGCTACTTATTGCGCCACCAGCGCCGGTAACTATACCGTTGTGGTGACCAATGGCAGCAACTGCTCTGC